CTTTCTGGTAGAAATGTCACTTGAACTATATGTTCTGTCCTGCTTCAGTGATGCTCGATTTCCAGGGTTTTTTGGCCATGTCTAGTGTCAGCTTTTCTCCCCCACGCAGACATTATGCTGTGACAGGACGTAACTTATGGTTTCTCATACTTGGGATCTAAAGCAAATTCCTAATATTTGCCATTCCTTATCTCTAGACACCTGATAACTCAGATCTGATAGGTGGTGCTTGACTTTTTAGGTACCGTTTATAAATCCTGACATGTAACACCTTTACATGGATGTTTCAGAAGGTGATGGCTGAATCCTGGATGTTAACTCCTGTGTGCAGGATGTGGCTGGGGGTAGACGCTGATGTGAGAACTCACCTCTCCGCCCTGCCCTGGCAGGGGACAGTTTCCTGGCTGTGCCGGCAGAGGGCAAGAGGTGCCCGCGCTGAGCCGGACGGGGAGCGCCGCCCGCCCGCAGCCGCGCCGGGGCTCCGGCCGCCTCTGGGGCTCCGGCCGCCTCTGGGGCTCCCCCCGCGCCGGCCCCGCTGCCTCAATGTCGAGGAGAGTTCTAAAAGCCTGCCCCGGTGATGGTGCCTCCCTGACCCGCCGGCGGCCGAGGCTCTGTGCCCGAGGGATCCCAGGAGAAGGCGCAGCTGAGCGCGCCCAGCGCAGACCCCTCGCCTCAAGCCGGTGCGAGCTCTGCTCCGAGGTCAGGCCGGGCACAGGGACAGAGGCACCGAACCACCTCCACCGTGCCCCGGCACAGCCGCAGCTCCTCCCCAGCATCCCCTCTCTCCTCCCGGGGAGTCGCACCCCACACCTCCCTGCGGCGGCGTGAGGGTGCGGGCAGGGATGGCTGAAGGTTAAGGGGCTGGGGCTGAGCCTGTCCTACCTCAGGACAGGACGGCGCTGGGCCCCGGCAGATGGATTTGGGGGGGGATTTTGGGGGACTTTCACCGCACGGTGACAATAAACACACGGAGAATTTTACAGACACGGAGTCTCCTGGGGAAAGGGAAAGGGAAAGGAGGTCTCTGGGACGCCGGCAGCAGTCAGGTGCAGAGTGGCTCTCCCAGATGCAGCAGCCTGTCCCGGAGCAGCCGTGCCGCTGCGGGCGGGAGCCGGGCGGGGTGCGGGAGCCGCGCTGGGCCGCCGCGGGGCCGGCCGGGCTCGGGCCGTCTCCTTCATGTGCGTCTCGCTTTGTATTGAATGATGTTAAGCAGGGCTGGGGCTGGCGCCTCGGCCTCATTACCTTCAATTACAATAATTGTTGCCTCTCTCCAGTGTTTTGCATTTCTCCCTCGGGGAAATCTCTCTGCTGCTTCTCTTCCAGTCTTGCTCCAGCTTTCTCCTATCGATTGGATCGCTCTGGCCCCGATTCTAGGAGCGATGCCTCCAGGAGGATAAATGCAAATCGCCCTATTGATTGGGAGGAGTAGGAGTGCAGCTCGCTTGGGGGAGGGAGGATTAGTTTTAAATGAAAAAAAAAAAAAAAAAAAAGAAAAAGAGTAAAGTAATGAGCATGACAGGAAATGCTTCACTTTCTGGGCCTCTTAAGTAGGGTCTCTTTATCATGTCCTGTGTCTGAGGGGGATGCAGACTGGTGCCATCTGGATAATATATCACGTGCATGGAGAGGTGGATCCTGCGACATAGACACTAGTCTGGTTTCCTACTTGTTTTAGGTGAACATGTATCATTGATAATCTCTGGAACGCTGCTCCCCTCCTTCAGTTTAAGGGTAATTGGGTTTCACTGGGGACACGCTAATTGCTGCTGAAAATGAGCAGGGACTAATGTGCAGGCATATGTCCACCTCCTTGAACTGCCCCAGTTACAGGGATAAAGCTCCTTGGGAGTTGTTAACCTTGAGGGAACCTGCTCAGCAGCCTGTTTGTCACAGGGGAGTGGCTGGAGGAGCCAGCCTTTGGGATCTGCATAACCTTAGATCCTGAAATGGCTACTTGCTTCAGGAAATCCATGGCCAGACCCTGAAGTGGGGAGCCAAAAGAATTGCACAGTCACATTATGTTCCCTGCCCCCTGGCTTTTATGCCAAGCTAAGCTAGTTTAAGCCTTAATTATTTTTTTAAAGGCAATAATCAGCATAAATAAATATAATTCTGTAGAATTAGATTTGTGTATCATATCCCAAATGCTAGCAAAGCAACTCAAAAAACAACGGTTGTTTGTTGGCTAGTGTTAAGCAGTTAACAAAAACCCCCAAACTACTCTGATTAATGTTGCTCCAAAAATGCTTTAAACAGTCCCAATGCTTTTAACTTCACATCATTTCCAAATGAGAAATTCCCAGCTGAATCATAACTGCAAGGTGAAAAAAGGGATGGATATGGTGTGCAAATGTTGCTTTTGACACCAATTGAAATTACTCCAAAGCAGTAGTATTAACCTTTCTTTGCTAAGAGCATCCGATGTGGCAGTACTGACAAATGCTGGTGTGTGCACACATATCCAGCACTATGCAAATCCTCATCTCCCTGAGGAATGTGGGTCTCCCCAGGACAGGCTGCAGCAATGTCTTGGCTAGAGAGGTGATTGTAGAAAGGATTTCCATATTGCATCCTCTAATAAATTTTTATTTTTGCCTAATTTTTTTTTTTGGGGGGGGGGTGGATTTGTTGTTGAAAAGTTCAAATAAGAGAATCATACTGTGAAAACACAGGGCTTTTTGCTAGAAATCGACAGGAGCATTACATCCAATCATTTGGGGGAAATGGTGGTGAGTTGACAGCATGCCATGAAAGTTTATAGAGGGGTGAGGAATTCACGATAATGTTCAAAGGTGTCAGATGAAAGAATTATCTTTGATTCCAAACTGTTTTTCTGGGGTGAGTTACCTAAATCAGGGGCACCTGCAAGCTGAAGTTGTAACTTTGTTTTGCAGATAGGCTGCTGTGGTGGCACATAAACACTAGGCAGTAACAGCAGGGACAGGCATTTATGCCAATTCATGTGAAAAGAGAATATATGAAAGAAGCAAAACAATAGGAGGAAGTTGAATTTTCTAAAGCTGGGTTCCCACAGCCAGAGAAGAGCTTTTCCCTTGTTCAGAGTTCTGTACTTAGAAAATTCTGCCAGGCTGACTTCTGTCTTGGCTTGTTTTATTTTCCTCCTTGATGCAGGAAAGGCCTAAACCCCTCACAGCAGCCATCCTCTCATGCCTGTGCTGGGACTCTCAGGCACACAGAGATTCTGGAGAAGGTGATGGATGTGATTTGGCTTTTCCCCAGGGACTGCACCCTGACATTCGGAAGAAGACTTTTGCATGGCTGCACTGCTTACATGCTCCACGTGGGAAATAGCGAGCCTTTTCTGGAATGTGATTGTAGAGGAGAGCAGGTGCTGTCCTGAGCTGTTGCTTGCCTGATAGGAGAAATCCTGGTCTGGAATAGTTCAGGACATTGGTCTTTTAGAAGGACTTGTCAGTTCTAAAGTCCTCCTGCCAGAAACTTGGCACTGCAACTATTGGCTTGTGAAATGAAGTAAAAGAATCAAACCAGCATCTGTGTGGCCTGCAAAGACTCGTTGGATGTATCCCTTGTTTTAGTTAGCAATTTCTTCTTCTTAAGACAAAATTCTGCATCTGTGACAGAGCTTTGAGCTGATGCAGAGAACGTGCTCCTGTGAGATGCTGCCCAAAGCAGTCCCTTTCCATGAGGTGCCCAGAGGCTGATTTTGCAACCAGGTCCTTCTGTTCATGTTGGCTTCAAAGGCTTTCACCGTATCTGGTGGGAGGGAGCAGCCCTGTGCTCTGCGGGCTCTGACTACAGACTCTGCAGTCCGTTCAAGTGGAGGCTTTAGGCTGCTCTCCCATGGCTGCTGGAGACACGTAATGCGGCCCCAGGCTCCTGACGCTTTCCTTGATGGTTCCTTGTAGTCATTATCCCACATTCCTTCTGGTTGCAGAACATGTTGTTATTATTGCTTTGTGCTGGGTCTGTCTCCTGTCCCTTTTTTTACAGGCCAATCTGGCCCTGTTAGCTCTTGTCTCTAAAACAAAAGCAAATTAGCACTGCAGAAGCTGAATTATCTTGTTTATGTTATAGTCTGTCAGAGGACCCCACACAAACCTTGCATGTCTCTCTGAGCAGTGTACCAGAGAGTGAAGAGACACAGTAAATCGGTCAAACCCTCCTGACACTGACTTGATCCGCAGGTTTACTAAAGGGTCTTTAGTTGCTTTCGGGGGAACTAAGGCTGGGTAGTGATCCCTGCTGTCCCTCCTTCACTTTTGATACTTCATGCACACTTGTAGCATACAGAAATAGAACTTTTTTTACAGTAAATTTTACCTCACAATTCAAAGCTGACAGCTGTCAATGAAATTTGCTGTTCAAAACTGATCTCAAGCACATTGCCCTCTGGTTAGTCTGTCTGTGCTCCCTTGGCCAGGATGTTTATAATACTCAGGGAGTCTCTCATGTTACTTAGTGCAGTAATGTGGCTCCATGAATAAAAGCCATTTCCAGTCTGTCGGTACTGCATGTAACAAATGAAATCTGTTAAATGCGCTTGTCACCATTGATAGGAACAGGAGAAGCAGAATTGCACATGTTGCTGTAATGATTCTAAGTTATAATGAATGATATTTTGTATGTTTGCAAATGAGTGTCTGATAGCCGGTGCCAGACTGGGAGATATGACTTGGCTGTTCTTGCTGTTTTTGTAATTTCAAAACAGAAACAAGAATTAGCAAATTACTTTGTGGTGGAGTGCAAATATGTCTAACATAAGTGTAAAGACTGCAGTGCAGCACACGTGTATCTATCTTATACATATGCAAATCACAAGACTCACAGTAAAACCATTATAACATGTGATGGCATCAGCACTAATTAGCCTGAGATCCAGTCTGTTCCTCTCTGCCAAAGTAAACTGGAGTTATCTCAATCTCAGATTTCATATTTCCTCCTTTCTCTTTCAGGGAGGAATGTCTCCGACATGAGGTATTATATCCCCTATTGAAAATGTCTTTAAAGTCTCAAAAAAATTTCAAATGAAAATTCTCTAATTTTTTATTATTATCTCCGCATTATCCAACAGCTTTAATACTAGTAGTGGACCCAAATATGTAAAGCATTTTGCCCATAAATGGGAAACAGTCTGTGCTGTAGAAATCAAGGCTTATAAAACGTAATGAACAAAGAAAGAAGAAAACTAAGTTAGCAAAGAAATTTTAATTAAGAGGCACATTTTTTTTAAGGACCAATATGTGAAGGAAAACTGTCCAAGCTACACAGGATCCACAGGAGCTGTATCGGAGCTCAGTGATAGAACACCAGCTCGTGCTTCCATCCCCAACAGCTGTTCTTGGAAACGAAATACTGGAAGGAGAATAGTTAGGAATAGTTACTGCAGGGTATATTCGCTAATAGCTCTGTACCACGGGCTGCGTGGATGTGACAGCAGCGGGTGAGACCCTGCGGGCTGAGTGCGAGACGCAGGAGCCCCCGAGCCGCAGGGTGGGCACCGGCGTGGGGCCGGGGATGGACAGCCCGGCTGCACCGCGGCTCCAGCCGGTGGCTGCCGGCTCCGCGCTGCGCCGAGCCCAAGCGCAGGATTTCCAGAACCTCGGGAAAAAGCCCGGCTGCAGTGGAACTGCCGCTGTTCCCGCTCGGGCAACACCTCTGCATCCTCGTGCAGCCCTGCGGGCCCGGAGCGGACAGGCAGGGTCGGCGGCAGCGCCGGGACAGCGGTCGCGGGCGGGAGGGGTCGGCCGCTGCCTCGTTCCGCTCCGGTGCTGCCGGTCGTCGCGACATGGGGCTGCGGGCAGCCCATCCATCCATCCATCCATCCATCCATCCATCCATCCATCCATCCATCCATCCATCCATGCATCCATCGTGCCTCCGCCGCATTCGCAGTCAGAACACGATGTTTTTTAGTGGAACCCCGCGCTGCTGCCTCCGTAGGGAATTACCTCGGGGAGCCGGCGGCGCCCGTTGCCCCGTCCCCGGAGAGCCCCGAACCTAAGGCGGCGAGCGCGGGCGCTCGGTGCGGCCAGCAGGAGCTCTGCCGGCAGGCTCGGGGTCCGGGCGCTCGGAGCCCGCGGCCGATCCGATAGCGGCCGATCGCGGCCCCCGCGCGCTCCCGCCGCCGCCCGGGGGCGCCGCGCGCGGGGCGCGGGTCACGGCGCGGGGCCGGGGCGGAACGAGTCCCCGCCCACTCGCGGCCGTGCAGCCAATGGGAGGGCGGGGCGGGGCAGGGGCGGCGGGGCGGGGCCCGGTGGCGCCCGGCGCGGGCCGTATTTACGGGGCGGGCGCCGCCGCCGCCGTGTCAGTGAGGCAGCGCCCACCGGGCCCCGCCAGCACGCCGCTGCTGCTCCTGCGGCGGAGCTGCGAGGGAAGGGCGCAGAGCCGCGGCCGTCCCCTGGCCCGCCGCCGCAGCGGTGGCCGCACCACGGCTCTGCCCGCGGGCGAGCGGCTCTTCGGCGCTCCGGCGGGGCAGGGGCAGGAGACGGCGGCTCGGCCGTGCCTGTGCTGCGGGCTGCGGCGAGCGGCGCCGGGTAAATGGATCGCCATTCCAGCTACATCTTCATCTGGCTGCAACTGGAGCTGTGCGCCATGGCCGTCCTGCTCACCAGAGGTGAGGGGCTGCGGCGGGGCGCCTGCGGGGCTGGCGGTCCGTGGGGGCCGTGCCGGCGGGGCGGGGGGCCCGGGAGCTGCCGCCCGAGCCGGCCGGGCCCGGCGCTGCCTCGGGACCCCGCGGCGAGCGGAGCTGGCGGAGCCGCCGGGCCTGTGCCGGCCGCCCCGGGTCCCTCCCCTCCCACCTGGCCGCCGGTGCCGGGCGCGACAGCCGCGCCGGGGGCTGTGCCCACCCGCGGGGGCTGTGCCCGGCCGCCGGGGGCTCTGGGGGCTGTGCTCGCTGGGGGTGGCTGTGGTCGCGCCGGGGGCTCTGAGGGGGGCTGTGCCCGCTGGGGGTGGCTGTGTTCTCGCCGGGGGCTCTGGGGGCTGTGCTCCGTGGTCTGGCCGCCCGGGGAGCGCCCTCGGGGGCAGAGGCGACCCGCTGGCTGCCGGTGATCGTCGTGCTCCGGGGAGGAGGGTAAAGGATAAGTTAGCGTGGTGGTGATGTGCGACGGTATTTATTTATTTTGGGAGGAAGGCTGTAATTAACCCTAAATAACAGCCTTGCAGCGTGCAGGGGGGAGCCTGCTGGCCCCATCAAAGCGGGCAGAACAGGGAGTGACTGAGTGATGTGAAGTCGCAGATACTGAAACTATGTGCCTGATAATGATATAATTATGGGATCACAGACTTCTGGCTGCTGTTGACTTCAAAAGCTTTAAGAGAAGCCTGCAGTCTCTCCTGTAGCCATCTTGACTAAAAGCAGACATTTTTCTTTAATAGCTATATACAGTAACAAGAAAGAGGAGGGAACAGAAGGGCATTGTTCGCTCTTTCAAAATACTAAATACCCTTTCTGGCCTTTTGCACAGCACAGGAAGAAACTTTATGAATTGACAGAAATACAGTAATACAAAGTTCATTTTGTTTCACTGAAAACGTGGCTTTAATTAAAAAGCAGTTGAATTAACCTGATGACTAGCCTGACAGATTTTGTTTAAAAGATTGTCTTAGGGCAATAACATGTAGATTTTTTAACGTGATTGTATAAGCAGTGATTGTATAAAATGGAAGTATGTGTATTATTTCTCTTTATTCCCGTATTGTGCTGAGGCTCATGAAAGAGCAGTCAGCTTTGGTACTGTGCCATGTTTGTATCTTGCACTTAACAGTGCAAAAATTATGAAAGCTATTTTTTTCCGAGGGGTAGGGGGGAGACCTCATATAGAATGCTTAGAAAATTGAGTCTTTTTTCTTGTAACATGCTGGATGACAGTGAGTGTGAATTCATGAAAAATTAAGTTACTTGGTCTGAAACCCCAAGGGAGTTGGACTGGAGACAGTGAGACACTCCATCATTTGGCTTCTATTAAGTAGAGTTATTAAAGAGCAGCGGGAACTTCAAGGCCTGGAGCCTGCAGTAGCATTTTGGGGAAAGTATTAAGGTAGCCCAGACGAGGGGAAGCTAACTTGTTTGGGATGATTTTAACATCTTACAGAACAGGGTTTTTTTTTTTAGATGTAGGTGGTAGGTAACATCATAAGAAGGGGTGGCAGCAGGAAAGCCTGGAGATTTATTTTTTCGGAATGCAGACTGTAAGAGGAAGACATCTGACTCTTCAGTCCACTTTGAAAGCCTTGCTGCTACTATGGTGGCAAGTACAGTAGGCACACCAGAAGTAGCTTTAAGTCCATTCTTCCAAGGATGTCTCCAAAATCTGGCTTCCTCTTAAACCTTGGCTCGATGGGACATTGAATTATGTTTGAGTTGCAACTTGCCTAGAAAGAGTATGTTTTTGCTACAGCACAGGACATGTTTAATTCATACCAGAGCAGTTTGGAGAGCACGAAATGAAGAATTTTATGAAGGGAACTTTTTTATCGCTTCCTTCAGGAATTTTTGAGGTTTCCTGATATTTTTCATAGAGCCGGTAGAGGATTTTCAGTCTTAAGTGTTTCCTCTTTTCTACTGCATGTGAAACTGGGGAGAGGCAAGGGGGAGCCTTTAGCCTTGCAGTTTCACTCCATTAAGAAACTTCACATTTGAGTTGAGAGTCATTTTCTCTGGTGAGCAGAATAATTATAAACTGGAACATTTTTGTTCTATAATTTTTGCATGAAGAACTAGCTAAAGATTTTCTCTTTCTGTAGAAATTAGAAATAGTTGCTCAGTTGCACACAGTAAAACCTGACAGACTTAGATGGTAATGGTTTTAGCTAATAGCTTTATAAGGTGTTAGTTAACCCTTTTAAATTTTGGGGCAGTATTGAGGGGTAATAAACAATTCAGCAGTTCCGTGTTTTTCTTTTTCATTTGTCACATAAATATTTAAGCCTGGTATTTTTGTTGTGTTCTTATGTGCAATTAAAAGAAATTCTACTTTTATAAAAATAGAATGCTGTTCCTGAAGTAATGATTAAAAACATAAATGTGACTTTCTTCTAGGACTGAAAGTGTGTGTTGCTTTTAGAACTGGTATTTCACTTTAAATGTGCTTAAATGCAACTGCTGACAGCGAGTGGAAGTAACTATAAAATTGTTAGTTATTTACCTTGGAAAACACTCCCCCCCCCCCCCCACCCCGCATGCCCTCCCCCAATCCCTGTTTTAGTGAAATGCTTTTGCTTTAATTCAAAGGACTGTAGTAGTAGTCATTAAAGCAAGTGCCCCAAGGCGTTTACAAGGATTAAAGTTTCAAGAGGCAGGCGCTGTACAGTGATGGGAAGGGAACAGCCCCAGCTCTTTTGGCTCTACAGCCTAGAGAATCATCTCAAAACTGGCACCGGGTTTGGTTGTGTGATGCGTGTAGCTAATAAGGATATATGGTGAGGTGTCCTTAGAGGACCAAATTCTTACCTTTCTTGCACAATTTTTGTTTTTTAGGTGAAATCAGATGCTACTGTGATGCTGCACACTGTGTTGCAACTGGCTATATGTGCAAATCTGAGCTTAGTGCCTGCTTCTCCAGACTGCTTGATCCTCAGAATACACATTCCCCACTTACTCATGGCTGCTTGGACTCTATTGCAAGCACAGCTGATATCTGCCAAGCCAAACAAGCACAAAACCACTCTGGCACCACCACCATGTCCACATTGGAATGCTGTCATGAAGATATGTGCAATTACAGAGGATTACATGATGTTTTGTCTCCTTCCAGGGGTGATGCTTCAGGTAGGGCAATAAAGCTTCAGAAACCCCTCTTCTGGCCATAAGGCCAGCTACAGTCAAAACCTTGTGCCTCTGATGTTATTGGTTTAGTTGTTAATGTAAGTGGAGACACCAGAGGGAGAAGTGGGTGGCTGGATGCAGGGGAACATCTCAGCCAATTAGCTTTTTTGTCTGCATTAATATTGGAAGTTTCTATTGCCATCTTGATATGATGTCCAAGTCAGGGGGAGTGGTGTTCCTAGTTAAACTGACTAGGGGTAAGAAATTCCATGTTATAAGCAGACTTAGAAATCTTTTCTTTTCAGGGGTATTTTCTGTAGATACTGCGGTGTGTAGCAGTTGCTCCTTAAACTTGTCTGTGTGGGATTTAAGGGAGATGCTTATATGTAAATCAGTGTACTTATAAATCCTGAAGTAAGCTTCACATCTTTCCCCTTTGCAGGACAAGGGAGCAGATATCAACATGACAGCAGCAGGAATCTCATCACCAAGGTGCAAGAATTGACTTCTTCGAAAGAGTTATGGTTCAGGGCAGCTGTAATTGCTGTTCCAATAGCTGGTGGGCTAATCTTGGTGCTCCTTATCATGCTGGCCTTGAGGATGCTCAGGAGTGAAAACAAGAGACTGCAAGATCAGCGACAGCAAATGCTCTCTCGTTTGCACTACAGTTTTCATGGACATCATTCGAAAAAAGGGCAGGTGGCAAAATTGGACTTGGAATGCATGGTGCCTGTGACTGGTCACGAGAACTGCTGCATGACCTGTGATAAAATGAGACATTCAGACCTCAGCAATGATAAAATTCTTTCACTAGTCCACTGGGGAATGTACAGCGGACATGGGAAGCTGGAATTTGTATGACCAATTATTTTTTAATCCGAGCTAAACTTACTCTCTGAACTCTTGAAGGCCTTTGGGTTCTGCTGGACAGGAGCACTTTATCTTAAAACAAAAACTCTCATAAATCATCTTTGAGAAACAAAGGACCTCTGCAAACAGAATCTTGGATATTTCTTCTGAAGGATTCCAAAAGTTGTCTTATTTGCACAGAGTAAAATACACTCAAATGTATTGTTTGCTTCAGAGTTGTGAAAGCAAAAGATGGAAGTTGTAAACACTGTCACCAGGGTTATCTGAACTGTAGGGAGCTGAGAACTGAGTTATTATAATAAACTGTATGCAAGCTCCTATGTTTCCTGACTTATTGTAAAGATTTTTTAAAATATATATATTTTCTCTGAAACTTGTTTGTGATTTCTGTTTTGGAAAATGGGTTTTCTTGTGGTTGACAGTAGGAAACAAATCAAGGTGTACATGGTAAGCCATGCATAACACTTAGATTCTGAAAGCAG